AACAATCGATAATATTGGTATCGTATCCGTGACCGGTTTGAGGGGTTTTTGCTTTAAGACAAAAGCCGACGCACACACCCAATTATAGCGGGGGCCAAGGTTGAGAAACACTGATTTAGACTGATATTCTGAAATCTATATTCACTTCTTTCTCCTCTCAATTCAGTTCCTCTTTTCTCCTCTGACTCTGACCTGTGCAGTCCAGACAAGAAGCACATCCAGGAGGACTAGCTCTCTCTTTATTGTAAGGTTGCATTAAGAGAATCTTTCAAGAGTGAAAGTATTTCTCTCCTCCTTTCCTTTTACTCTCTGGAAAACTAGGGAGGGTCCCTTCTGAAATGTTTCCCACACCCTCCCTCCTTCTGTGGGCTGAGATATATTTTACATAGTGGTTGACCAGTCTGCAGTTCTTCCTCCTGTCTCCCAAGGTCACATACCACATACCATTACATGGAGAGCTCATCATGAAGAGAGGACAGTACAAACATTTAGTCATAGAAAGACTTAAGTAACTCAGCCTTTCTTATCACTGTCTGGTTTCCTAAATAAAACTTATATGCATTGTTCTTTCAGGCTCGCACCCACCTCAAGAATACTTTCTAATAAAGATAACAATTTCAGTCTTTCTCTCTACATCAGTTGGTGTTGATTGGGGAGGAGAGATCCAGCACACAGCCCTTGCTTTACAAGGCTTTGGGGGCACGATTCTGTCTCCTCTCCTGTTTAACATCTACATGAACATGAAGGTGAGGTCATCTGACAGCACGGGATGAGACACTATCACTGTGTTGATTATGCCCAGCTTTACATCTCCACCCTTGGCTGCCCAAGTGATGACGTGGAGGTCCTGTCTCAATGTCTGGAGGCTGTGTAGGTGTGGATGAGGAACAACAAGCTTCAGCGCAACCCTAGCAAGCCTGAGTGGCTTTGGGTATTAGGGCCACCTGGCTCTGGGGATTTTCCATCTTTAATTCTGGATGGGTCTCCACTTCCCCAAACAGAACCAATGCACAATCTGGGGGTCCTCCTGGACTCACAGTTCCTGTTCAAGGAACAGGTGGCACCCATGGCTGAGAGGACCTTTGCAAAGCTTTGTGTTGTGCACCAGTTCACCTTTTCCTGGATGCAAGGCCCTGCTCATGGTCACTCATGCCTTAGTCACTTCTCAAATGGATTACTGCAATGTGCTTCACAAGGGATTGTCCTTAAAGAGCATCTGGAAGCTGCAGCTGGTATAGAATGAAGTACGAAGGGGCAACTATGTATGGTCCTTGAACAACATATGTTACATTTGGCAGGGCCTTTTCTGTTGTGGTACCACCCTTTGGAGTATCCTTTGCCCAGATATTACACTGGCCTGGACCCTGCTGGCCTCTTTCAAGGCCTTAAAGACATGGTTTTGTTACTGGCCTGGGGGTGAGCAAGTGTAGCCAAGTCCATATATTGATTATGCTGATTTCTTTTTGATGACTCTATTTTTACTCAGGCTGCTGTTTATGTGTATTGTCATTTTTCTTGTTTTTATATTTTATGCTGTTTTTACATAGTGTTTGCCACACTGAGCCATGAATAGGAGATGTGTGGCCATATAAATTGAAATAAATAAATAAGCAAGCAGGCAAGCACAGGATTCACATACGCTGCAGATAAAATGGTTCAGTTAGTAGTTGTCACAAAAAGTGTGTGTGTGAGAGAGAAGAAATTTACCTGCTGAAAATGCCAAAAAGGCTTCCGGCTTCACAAACTCTCCCTTTTCAT